CAATATGGGAGGCTATGACTTCCCTTTGGGACATTGCAACAACAACAACAGATCCCGTGATGAGCCATTCTCATCTTATAACTTCTCCTGAAGTCTAGATAATTTCATATTCTCTTACATTTCTGGAAAATGGCCCAGACCATGGCAATAAGATAAACAAAATTGATGTCTGAATTTGTGGTAAGGCAAAGGCCCTTTAGGCTGTGGGGCAGTTATACAGGCAAATTAAGAGTATCCATACCATAGGAGCACACGTACCTGACCATTATATCAGGAAATACCTAAAGAAGCAATTGATTGTTTTCTCCTGAGGTTTATTCTGTGTTGATATAAGGACAAGAAATGGGCACAAACTTTTAGAAACTAACTTTAACAGGGGAAATTTTTAAGCACCCTGTGCATTTACAGCGCACAATCCAAGCTGCTTCCATAAATTCTGTGATACTGTGTGGGCTGGTGCTGAACCAGTGACTTTTATATGAGCTCTTGCTTTTCCACTTCCTCRAGTTGCATTGTCAGGTTGGGTATCAGAGATCATCTATTTTTTGAGTAGGAGTGAGTAGATTCTTAAGGGTCCTTATTGATTCTTTTATTGATTCATTTGTTTTTTATAGGTGTTGTTTAATTTTCATGTATTTGTACAATTTCTAAATCTTTCCTGTGTGATTGTTAAAAACATTTTAAACTTTGAGTTGTAATTGTTCATATTTTTGGGATACAGTGTGGTATTCCAATACATGCTTGTTATTGATTTGTAATTTCATTCTATTGAGGTCAGAGAAGATATATGATAACATTTTCTAAAATCCTCTTTGTGACTTAACATAGAGTTTATCCTGAAGAATTTTCCATGTGCTTATGAGAAGAACACATATTCTGCTTTTTTTAAAAATAAAAATGTTCTGTAGATTCTGTTAGGTCCATTTGGCCTTTAGTATAGTATAATTCCTAAGTCTTTACAATAATATTTTTGTCTGGAAGATCTATTGGTGAAACTGGGGTACTGGAATCCCCAACTACTACTGTATTGATGTCTACCCTTCCTTCTAGATTTAATAATGTTATTTTTATATAATTGGGTGTTCTGTCATTCAATGTATATACATTTACAATTGTTATTTTTGCTTATGGAATTGACAACTGTACCACTATATAGCCACTTGTCCTTTGTCTCTTTTTACAATTTTTGACTTAAGGTCTACTTTATCTGATACATGTAAGCTCACTGTTGGTTTGTATTAGCCTCTATGTGTCTTTACCAGTGAGGTTAGTTAATTGTAGGTAGTGAATAATTAGGTCATGTTTTTATTAATTCACATTTAATACAGATAGTTTAAATATTTTAATTGGGGATATTAATCTATTTATTTTCAAGATTATTACTGACAGGAAAGGACTTTGTGATTTTGGTGATTTTTCTTTTCTGGTTGTTGTGGTGGTTGTTTTATTGTTATTATTTTTAATTCTTTGTTCTGTCTTCCTCTCTTATTGTTCAATTTTGTGATTTGGTAGGTTTTTGTATTGATATTACCTGATTTTTTCTGTTTCTCTTTTGAGTTTCTGCTTTTCTGAATTATACTTTTGCATGTTCATGATGATGGTTATTATCCTTTGTCTCTTGATGTTGGATTTTTTGAAGCATTTCTTCTAAGGCCAGTCTGGTGGTGAGTAGATCCCTCAGCTTTTGCTTGTGCTGTAAAGTCCTTATATGTCCTTCATTCTAGAAGCCAGCTTTGCTGTGTATAGTTTTCTTGTTAAGTAATGTTTTGTCTTTGAGGATTTTCAATATATCATGACATTCTTTTCTGATATGTAAGGTCTTTTCCAAGAAATCTGCTAGTCTAATGGGGATTCCMTTATGTGTGCTGTTTTCTCATTTGAGTTTTTAATTTGGTTTATTAAAAGGATACACATAGGAAAAGAAGAACTCAAATTGGGACTGTATGCTGATGACATGATTCTATACCTAGAAGACCCTAAAATTTCCACCAGAAAACTTCTAGAACTAGTAAATAAATTCAGCAAAGTAATAGGATATAAAATCAACAACATAAATCAAAGGCATTTTTGTATATTAGTGGCAAATCTTCTGAAAGGGAAATGAGGAAAACTACCCCATTTACAATAGCCTCAAAAA